AATCGACGTTTTCTTATTATTTTGTTTCTTTACTTAAATTTGTTACTTTACTGTTTGTGCCCGACGATGATAACGATACTTGGCAACAACGCGAGAAGTTACGGAATTTTGGGAGCCGTTAATCGAACACAAGGAAACCGATGACAGACGAAGAATTGGCTCGGGCAGCGGCGTGTAATTAATCACCGATGGATATTTGCGCTCGGATAGAGCAAACGATCAATTTAGCGAACGTTTAAACCGATTCCGTATGGCAATGAACTTTTACGAACGTTATTCCGTACACCTTGGAAAAAAATGCCCGCCGCGCGATTCGCGTTCGAACATTCGTTTATTTTTTTATTTTTGTTTATTCATTATGCTTTCGACGCTGTTCTCTCTCCGTCTTTGCATCAACAAACAAGAAGGGGAAAAATGCGAATGTTGAAGGATCAATCGAAAGGTAATAATACAAGCGTGTAAAAAATGCAATGGCCAATACGTCGTTGTGGTACCAACTAATTACATTAATATCCATTAAAAGTACGATTAAACTCATCGATAAACAACTCGGTTTCTCGTTATAGATTACAATATGAGTAGTAAGTATTTTACGTATAATTATTTAATTATATGACCAGTCTTCAGTGAGCGGGACGTCAAGTATGCGTTAACGTTAAAAACAGACATGTAACGTCCCCGGAATTATAATATATTTATTCGTTTTTTTCCTTTGCTTTTAAATATTGAAACGCTTAACCTTCATTTTTATTTTTCATTATTTACCTAAAATTAAAAGATTCAACATGCGTGCACTACCTAGTTAAATTAAAGACAAGAAAAGGAATACCTAAAATATAAATTACATCTTCGAGGAGTTCGTTCAATGTAACGAAACAAACAAAAAAGAAGAAAAAAAAGAATAATAAAGGAAAGTAATAATGAACAAGATCGAAGATACAGATATTACAGCGAAACTAGAATAATAATTAAGAGGAAAATTAAGTTTACGAAATGCATGAAGTGATGGACAAAAAACGGTATACTGTAAACGCACAGAAAAAGGTCGAAGAATGAATTTGATCCTACGACTGCGTAGAAAGAGATGAGAATACTAAATGTATGTAAAAAGTGTAAAAAGTTATCTCTATCCTGTTAGTAAAGTCGAATTTCTTTTAACTCTCCCCGTCGCAGTGCCTTACGATAATAACGAAATAATAAATCTAACAGCTGTCTGGAGTTTTTTCGATACCTAAACCTTAACGTACAATTAAAGTGGTCTCAGTCCTATGAATCAACAATAAATATTAAACGGTAAAAATACATGATTTGCTAACACACGGTGTCGCCACAAGAATGACAGAGTCTTCTCTCGTCCGAAAAGGGATAAAAAAAAAAGAAAAGAAAGAAAAATATTACCTCAGCCTAAAAACGTATAAATACAAAAAAACTCTCGCGAAATTGTTAGGAATAGGTGAACCTAGCCAGGGAGAACTTACGAAACGATAAGAAAGAATAAAAAAAGAAAAAAATTAGCAAGGGGGAAAAAATTAGAAATGCATAAAAAAGACAGTAACAACCCTGAGAGCAAGCCGCAGTTCGCGAGACCGCGAACACGACAGGTAGTAACAACGGCTAGAATCAAAGTATCTTTCCCTATTTGCTACGTATTTACGTTAATTAGATGCATTATCTCTGTATTGAAAAATACTAATAATATTGCGTTAAATATAAATATATTATCTGTTATAATTATTTAATCGTCAATTATTTCGAATAGTCCCGCTAGTTTCCCGCTTTTCCCGTCGTCGTTTTGTGTTATCTGTGTGTGAGTGTACGTTATTTATTATTTTTTTTTTTTATTTCTTCAAATCCATTGCTACCACTTTCGCTCGTTATTCACGATAACTATTAACCTCCGACCGTACCCTAAAATATACGTATGTACACAGTGCGGCACGGCAGCCATATTTCATTAAACTTTGTATCATTTGTCGTTTCCCATTATTTATTTATTTACTTATCTCTTTTTTTTTTTTTTTTACTTCGTTCCACGCTGGGGTAAAATTTAAAAATCCCTCTGAGACTCGTTAATTATAATATAAATTAATTTACCGCGCTTACCGATTCCAACAAACACATTAATTATCGTTAACGCGTCTATAAAAACAAATTGTATCGATAATCACTTTCTCCCAACGCTTTGCATACACTTAAAAACCTTTAAATTTATTATACGCTTTAACTTTATTTAAAACTTGATAATTATAGTAGTAAGGAATACAATTAGTTAGTTAGTAATAATTATAATCATAATCGATACACTAGTGGTTCTTGTTTACGTTTCGTCTATTATATTACTTTATAAAATAAGTTCTGAAAAAACAGCCGTAGATATAAAAAAAAACCTTTTTTTTTTATTTCTCTCTCTTCTCCCTCTCTCTCTCTCTCTCCCTCTTTCTCTCTCCCCCTCTCTTTTGCTCGATCTATAAAATCCGCCTCTTTCTCACTCTCGCGCGCCCATGCGTTCCCGTTTATCTTTCTCTCCCTCCCTCGCTCTCCCGCTCTCTCGCGCCTTTCGAGTAGGTATTAAATAACATATTTATTTAGAACAACCACAAAGTCACCGCTACTTTTTTTCGCGTTTATCTATATAGCTTCTTATCCATTTACTATTTTAACTCGGATGTTCGATATAACTTGAGTGGCCTGTTTAAATTAATTTTCTTTTAACTTTATTCCCTTTTTGTTTCATTTAATTCTTCCAATGCGCGTAGAACTGTGTACGTGTTGCTTGTGTATCTGTGAGAGTACGTATTATGTTACGTGTTTTCCGTGTAATTACCATAACAATTAGTGTAAAATTGGTTAAATGTTTGATTGGGCTCCCTACTCGTCTCTTCTTGTCGTTTTAGTTTAGTCAAGTAAACGTGTTATTGCGTTGATCCCAGAAGTTTCCACGAGTCGCGTTTGTTATGCTTTCTCTTCATTCCAGTGACTTTTACGTATCCCTGTACTACAGCGCTACGTGATACTGTTAACAAGAACTCCCGACAAGGAAATACACCGAATTTAAACGCGAAAAATGGTATCGAACGTTCGAATGGTTTTATATATATATACAGAATATAAGTACTGTGTACGTAATCGATTAGGGAAAAGTCGATCTGATGGCGAAGAAACTCGATCGATATTTTTTCTGTTTACTTCCGTATTATTTTAATGCGATGGAGACGAAGATAAGAGACAAATGAAAGAAATAATCGAGTATGAGTAGTCACATATATGTATAGATGTATATGTATACGTATATACATATATATGTATATATATATATTATTTTTATTTGTTTTGTCGCGAGTTAAAATGCGTTTACGTTACGAAAGGGCACTGCAATTTGACAAGAAAAAGAATAGTCGCTATGAAGAGACACACTAATCGTATTGAGATCATAACGAGGAAGCTTACTCAAATTGCTGGATCCATTATTGTAACCTACTAATTACCTTGTGACATTGTAAAAAATTTAAAAATTACATTAGAGCGTAATACTTGCGATTTCTTATTGACAAAAGTAAGACACAACGCGACCCGCTCAGTAATAAACATGAGCATATTTGAGAGCATTCTTCCGAAATATTTCTTGTTTAGAACTATGGTAAATCCTACAGAGTAAATACAATTAAGTCATATATTTAATCAGGTAGACTTTTCAGATCGGTGCCCCCCGCCGAGAAAAACCGCACACAAGTTTACACAAATACCCCTCCCTCCATCCTTAGATACCATGATCTCATCTCTAATCATCTAGAATTTAAAAACACTTATAAGCATCATCGTACAATATTTTGTAATTACCATAGACAATAATAATAGTGTGTAATAGTAGTGCAATCGTAGTGGTTGCAGTAGGAGCAGTCGCAACAGTAAATAGTGATAAATAGCTGTAAATAGTTTTATAATGGTAATAGTAGTATAATAGTAATAATTATTATAGAAGTAATAATAATAGTAACAATAATTGTAGCCTTAAACGTGCCTAATAATTAACTATTATAAATCCGAGGTAAAAAATAAACTAGTTTCCACATATTTGATGCAATACAGCCGTACAGAAACCCGTCTGACGGTTAAGAAGTTCTTATGATACAATTCTTTTACGTTCATTTTATTTTATTTAAAAATTCATCATCATCATCATCATCATCATCATCACCATCATCATCATCATCATCATCATCATCACTATCATCATCATCATCATCATCGTTTGCTCGTTTTCGTTCCCGTCCTTTTCCTTCCGTGCGCGAAATAAACTCCACGAATCGAACGGAAACGGAAAAGGACCGGACGAAACTAAATGTAGAGAAATGTGAAAAGCGAAAGACAGTAGAAGAAAAAAAAAAGGGGGGGGGGGGGAAATAGACAATATGTCTAAGACGACTACTATAGTGATATGACGTGAAAAAGTAAATAAAGAAAGATGCTTAAGGAAACTGCACCCTGCTGTCAAAGAGTTATTAGATTAATACATACATCATATTAAAATGATCTAGTTTTTATTTTACACTATCTCTGTAGTTTAGGTATAAGTCAGCCTGTGTGAACACCTTACTTAATTATTTCATTAATTACTCGTTACGTTTTTTCATTTTCTTTATCCTTCGGTTATCCAGCGTAACAACTATTTAATAAATACGAGATCGTGGAGGGACGGGTGTCTCGAAATGTGCAAGTCAAATCGCTGACATTCCACTTGGAGACCGTTAATAATATTAGACTTCTTTTATTTATTATTCTTATTTTCAAATTACCGAAGAGTGGTTTACTAAATGTATAATAATAAGGAGGTGAACGAGCGTCGAAATTTGTGCCATCCACTGAGAATGAAATTCTCAAAAACGAGATCTCATTCACCCCCGTCGTAAATGCTGTTAAGTAATTAATGGTTTCCAGCATTCCTCGTTCTTTACACTCGCTTTTTTACTGTTTCATTTTCTTTTATACGTCACTTAATTCCAACTCGATCTAGTTTATCCTTATAATACTTCTATGTTTCGCTTCCTACCCTCTATCCCAGTGCCATACACAAAAAATTCGCTTGCACCATGGGTGTTCCTTTTTTTTTTTTATTTTATTTTAATCGTAAACTCTTGATCTCCCTTCGTTTCGTAAGTTTTCTGTTTCTTTTGCGTTTGTCCGTTTTGTTTTGTTTTATTATTATTTTTTTTTTGCGGTTTTACCTCTCTTTTTATTTTATTCTTGAGTAAGTATGACAGGTTCCGTTCCTCTCGCTGTTTTCCAGTTTATTTCGAAACCCGACAAGATCATGGGCCGTTCTCGCGAGCGATCAATGAAATCAATGTTTCGAGCAACCTAACACCCTCTTTTTCTTGACGCTTCCGTTTTACAAACTTGGGCAGATGCTGCCGTCTCTTCTCTCTTTTTAATGCCGAAAAAAGATATGTCGTAAAGTATCATTTGAATCAACTGCGAATACGACCGCTCGCGAACGACATGCTGGCTCGGCTAGAGACATTCTTTGCTTCAAAAAATATAAAGAAATGAAAAAAAAAAATAGAGAAAGAAGACGAAAGTAATCGCGGATTCGACAAAACCACCGTCCACGCTACAAAGAAAAATTCCAACCACAAATACTCCCAAACGTGATCGATTCCAGAATCCTGTAAAAAGAAAAACTATCGATATTCAAACTCCCTAAAAAATGAACTACCGACAACTATCAATGTACAACGATTCGGAAACAATGCGTCCCCGTTCAAACTGTTCTCTTTCCATTCGTTCGCAAAGAATGTCCCAGGATCCGAGCGCAGATTCACGATCGATATACAAGTTGCGTTTTCTTTTTGTTATTATTATTGTATTTTTTTTATTTTTGGTTTGCGTATTTTTTTTTTCCCCCGAATATGTAATAAGAAATACCCCACGAGCAAGGCCAAGCCATTCAGCGCATCTCTCCATCACGGGTCAATTAAAATGGTCATGAGGTTTGCCACTCTTTGAAATCAAAGCCTTGCTGGGGTTTAGGGGCGCTGGCGGCATACCCACCTTGGTTGCTTTCTCCTCCCTGATATGAACGCTGAGGATAACTGGTGTCAGCGTAATTACCATATGCGGAGTACCCAGTGTAATCCGGAGTCTTAGCCGAACTGCTACTGGACCCAGGTGCACCTGAGCCGGTTGTCTGTCGTGAATACATATCACCTGGAACATGGATTTTCAACCTGACATTATCCACCCTCGCCACTTACCCCACGTCTCAATTATTCAGAGAAGCTGGAACTACTTCCAACGAAGATACATTTTCGATACTTTTCGCCCCGGAATGCTAAGACGATAAATGATCAACTAAGGATCGCTAACGCGACGAATCGTTCAACTACGGCATTCTACGGTCGAAGAAGAAAGCGCTCGACGAATAAAACTCTGAGCATGCGTTTCGAGAAACCTACCGACCTTCCTTAGAAAACAAAATTAAAAGGCGACCGAGCTTCTCCAACGAACGAAATAAGTATCTAAAATATATCTCGAGTATCTTTTACTTATTTACAAATACGTCAGTGTGTGTTCGTGTGTGTACGTGTTCGTTTGAAATAGCGTAATTATATTTGTACAAAAATGCTGAGACCAGTACGGTTTTTTGGATTTGGATACGTGAAGCATGTTCTGCTCTGTTCGCTATCTCGTTTTTCTATGCTTCGTAAACAATTGCAAACTTATAGTGAAATGTAATTTCGTAAAGGATTCTCGAGGAAATAAACTTATCGCATAGAACAAGCGGAAAATAATACTGATCTCAGGTTTTCGAGGACGAATCGATGTCTATCGTTGCTCCGAGACTGAGTTCGACTAAGTTGATTATTAAAACGAACTTCGTTCTTCGAGATCGATATTGAGTAACGAGAAATTGCAACAATCGTTGGTGAACTTGGAACGTTAAGACATAAATTCGTCGCAGATTCTGCAGGTAGGCAATAAAGGAAATGAAAGGAGCGAGAGTAGGATTGCACTATCATACATTACTGTGAATCAATCGTTTTCAGAAAAATTTGAATCTTTGATCTCTTTACGACAACGCCTTAAAATGTAATATACATAGACATATTCGAAAAATTAGTTCCAAATACCTACTCTATTGCTAACAGTGCCACGACAATAACTAGTGAAAATATTAAAAAAAAAAAAAAATAATAAATAAATAAATAAAATAACTTATCAAAGGGGTACTGGCCAGCTATTGTTTCTAGGAGGTACTATTTAAAGTAAAAATAAACAGACAACCAACGTAAGTAGAAAGAAAATACTTGTATTGGTTCGCATAGGACGAGAAGGTGATGAGACAATTGAAACGAACAAAAGAATTTTTTGAACCAGAAGTGAAATGACGGATGAATAAGTGCGAGACTCGTATGATCACTACTATAGCTAGCTAACAATCATAAGCATAAGAAGTATTCTAAGCGTAGCTCCAATCTTATGTTTTCTACGTCTAAGTATCGCAAAAATTTTCTTTGCTATTTAAACTTCTCTCAAATAATTAAATACATATTTGTGATTCGTACACGATCGAAAGGTACATGCTTTTGTAATTCTGCACGCAACAAATCAAGCGTTAAAGACACGAACATCGGGATCATCGGTTAACAAAACGAACTAATAAATTTGCAAGTATCGAAGGGATTTGGAGTCGCGCGGGAATTTCACGGAAGGGGGTGGAGGCAAAATTTGACTCGTTGGAAAAGAACGTAAATCTCGTCTCGTTTGAAATGTAAAGGAACAAATCGTTATCATTTTTCCAACCCCTATGCGCAAAAGCTCGTCTCTTCCGTAATACCCAAAAGCCGATTAGTATTTGTTAACAGCGACATTGACACAGCCAAATGATGAAATGCTAGGGACGTGCCAGATTTCGATGAGACTTTGCACAATTGTTCGTTGATCCTTGAGAGTTCTTGAGAGTATTTTCGGTAAAAAAAACACCATTCGTATCAGACTATCGCATTTATTTTAAATATTAATAAATATCGTGATGTTTCAAATATAAATTGTACTATTTTCGACAGGTCTGTGATATGGTAGGAGCAAATTTCCGAAAAATTCATTTTCCTTCCATATCTTCCCCATTCTTAAGAGAATATTCTTTATTAAAAATTCACGCCCTAAGGGTGAAACGTTAGGAATACGAAACATGTTACAGTTCTCGGACTGAACCAACGAGCATTCGTGCAAAGATTTATTCGAATCAGGATCTGACAGCTCGCGACGTTCCCTTATCAGTGGCATAATATTACGATAAACCACCCTCGCAATGGAACAGCCTCGAGGCGTTCAAACGGCACGCAATTTATTAAGAAGCAAAACGCGATCTGGCCGCTAAGATCACAATCATGCCGGTATTTTGACAAAGGATGAATGATTACACGGACGAGCCATCGTTTCGTTTCGTCGTAAACAATCGATCGCTAACAAAGGAAAGGGAGGCATGTGTTAACCCTTTGCACTCGGATGTCTCTTCTGACATCGTAAATCCAGGAAAACTTTATTAATGATTACACTGAATAAAAAAAAAAGTAAAACTTGTAAAAGTGTACGATTCCTTGAAAATTTCTATTTTCAAATAGCACGAGGAATCAAATTCGAATATGGTAGATCTATTAAGATATACAGGGTGTCCCAGAATCAGTGTAAGAACTGGAAATGGGAACTGAGACGATTCTGAACCAGAAGTTCCTTTGGAAAAAGATCGGATGATGGTTCGTTTTTGAATTATTAACGAAAAACCGTCGACCAATCACAGCGCCCGAGTAGCCCGCGCTCAGCCGCGAGAGGTTGGCCCAATGGCTAACTCAATGGTTGCGATTGGTTCGTAGTTTTTCGTTAATAATTCAAAAACGAAGCGGCATTCGAAATTTTCGCAAAGGAAATTGTGCTTCAGAATCATCTCAGCTACAGTTTCCCCCATTTCCGGTTCTCCTACTAATTCTGGGACACTGTATATAACAAATCTGAGCTTGTGTTACATGGAAAAAGAATGCGTGAATATTCTACGCCTTAAAAAAGCGACAAAGAACATTTGTCTAAGAGAGTAAAATATGAAAACATATTTTGTATGACACGGTGCAATTCGTGAAGATAAACAAGGAAGCCTAAGATTGCAACTTAAAGATAGAAACTATCGATGGCATATCTACGACTGCTTCACACATAATCACGTACTAGTATAAAATTTTGATCGTTGACATAAATATCTTGCTCTATCGTAGACATAATAATGTCTAAAGATTCGTACAAGCTCGAGTATCGTTACAGTAAATCACATGCCTTATAAGTTACGTTACGGCGATAGGGCACGATTCCTGCACATTCCGTAACGAAACGGCTCCGAGTGCAAAGGGTTAAAAAGAAAATACAACCGAGAATTCCAGAGGATGTCGGGGCCTCGTTTAACCAAACTAAAGTGAATATAAAACAGAAAACGAAACAGTAGATGACTTTAGTTTAGACTCGAATAGGTGAAACTGGAGCTGTATGATGCGAAAGGGTGGAAAGAGGAAAGACTTTTGTTTGACTGAGCTTGAAGACTCACCCTGCGGGCCAGAGGGGTTCGAGTTGGAGTTGGGCTGCGAGGAGTTGGGCTGAGGGGGCTGAGGTGGTGGCTGGGTCCCAGGAGGAGGCCCATTCTGTGGCATGTTCCAGGAGTTCCAGGAACCCCCGGGCCCGCCCCCCGCAGCCCCGCCAGTACCCGCCGTGGGCCCGTAGCCCCCTGAAGCGGCCGCCGCCGGCCCACCTGCGATCATCAACCACACAAAACACGTGTCACCGACCACCGTCGTCTTCTTATGCTTTTTTTCAGGATACGTTTACACTGCAGCGACCATGCTCCGTTGCAGAACACGCTTGAAGTCCTCGAAATGAGCCCAATTCCATGAAACGACGATTCGCGAGGGTGCCGATAGCGAATTATGGTTCTCCACCGTCAACAACGGTCAACCATCGCAAACGACGATCTTTCCTGCTTTAGGAGATGAACAAACTCGCGGTTCTGCGTCTAGGGCTCGTTTTCACGAAGGTACGAGGGGGTAATGTCTCCGAATGCCCATTATACTTCGTACTACTTGCACAATTGATTTCAAGGCGTTGTTATTACTATATGATGATATATAATTTCTGGTCCACGATTGTAGGAGTATCAATGCTGGTTTGATGCTGAGTTCTCAAGAGTCTTCGTACTTCAGCAACAATTGTTTAACCCTTCGCTTGAGAATAATACTTTTAAGACCAAAAACTATGCCAGCTCTTATGTCCTTCGTGTATGTACTAAACCGAAGAGTGCAGATTATTTAAGTAAATTCGAGATAAATTAGAAATATAATCACAGGTTGAAGAGTGCAAGAGACTCGGCTGGAATGGCAAATGTCGATTCAATTAAGCCTTGAATGAGTTACTAATTAAATAACGAAGCCCCGGGGTCCCTGCACAATCGTCTAAGGGTTGGCTGAATCACCGAAGCATATTCACTTTTTAACTTTAAAATTAATCTCTTCGTCACGCCACTGAAATACATGATTTTTCCAACAAAGATCACAATAAACGAATTTTCGTAAACGTATAAACTCGATATATTAATTTGTCTGTGCTTGTTATCTTTAAATGCTTCAAGTGCATTTTGCGCCGTTTGTTGTAACGCGCGCGCTCGTCGCAGCAGTGTAAACGTACCCTAACTTGGTCAACCACTTCAGTGCCAAGCATGCACCGGTGAGCGGTGTTTCAATCGAGTAATGATATCTTTCAAATGAAATACGTTTTGACAAACGCGAGCACATGCTCACCGTTCTTTCCGGCGACAATTCTAGAAACCGCTGGAAAAGATATGTGGACTTTAAGCAACAGACTCCGAAGCGTTTCAATCACATTTTTCTTTTATAATGTCTATCGCTAATGGTGAACTTACCTCTGAATCTTCTCTTCTGAAATAATGTGATGATAGTTTCTTCTGCAGAACAGTGAAGGCAAATTTATTGAATGGTATGTTTCTATGAGTGTAGGAATTTGAATTGATAACGCGCAGATTAAGCTTGCCCGCTCGTTGCAGTCTTGGCACTTGAATGGGTTAATTTTGCTTATGAAATTTTCTTTTCTTTTCTTTTTTTTTTTTTCTTTTTTTTTCTAGTCTGTTTAACGGAACTCGTTTGACGTCGTTCGACTTAAACGTTCGTGCTTGGCTGTCTCAATAGACAATCAAGCACAAACTTCACAGATAAGATTATGAGGTCCAATGTTTCAAAAGTGTTCATTGCGTCGATTCAGGCTCGAAAAAATGAAGGCGGAAAAATAAATATTGAACGGAATTCGAACTGTAATTACTTTTTTTTTTTTTTTAATTAGGCGATGATTGCATTCGTACGAAGGGTGAAGCGAAACTGTCGCACGGTAAAGGAATGTAGTAGCGCTGGAAAATACGCTACGTTTGAAGAGTGTATGGTTATCGAGTGAATAATGAGCCTAAATTGACACAATTTGATATTCATTTGGTATTTATGATGTCCTATTGTATTCTCTTTCCATGATATAACCTCCAGGGGGCATCGAAACAAAAATTTACAATTAATTTGTACATTATAGGTATTTGTTTTCTCATGTTCTTATCTTTCTCTTTCTTCTCCTAACATCTCCAAGGAGGATGGAGGGGGAGAGGACAGGATCAAAGTTATTGTTAATCTTTATAACTATGACCTTATCGTGTGTTGTCCTAACAAATGCGTAAATGGTATCGACATTGACGAATGAAAACTGAATTATCGTCGAAACAGTGTTATTCGAATTTGAAAGTCAACATTGCCGCTATCTCTGTCTCTCTTCGTTGCAATTAAAATACCGTACAATCGTTACGTCTTGTTTCGCAACAAGCGAAATAACATGGAAACATTCGCGGCTACGATCGCGCGTATAATTCGAAAGTTGAAATTTGAAATGCGTTGAAAGTTGAAACGCGTTGAAATTTCTACCGTAGCAAAAATCGAGAGTTTCGCGATTGGAACATATGTCTTTTTTAATCCTTTCAAACTCAAAACGTATCCATCAACGTTACTGTTTTTAATTCATATAGTCGAATTTGAATAAGTGACTAAGAATTAGAAGAAATTAAATGGGAACAGGTCGTAACGACTCACCATAACTTCCGTAACCTTGGGTGGCTGCCGCAGGCTGGACGTTGTAACTGCTACTCCACTGATGGTGCGGCGGTGGTGGGATTTGTTGCTGCTGAGGTGGACCAGGTGGTGCACCCCAACCCTGAGAGTTATACTGAGTGGTATAACCAGCGTATCCACCAGTCTGAGGACTGGTGCCCCAACCCTGATACTGCTGCATCATGTTCCCTGGCGGTCCCATCGGACCACCCATCATAGGTCCACCCACGTGTCCATTCGGACCACCCATAGGCCCCATATTCCCAGCCATTCCCATCGGAGGTCCACCAGGTTGCGGTGGACCCCACTGTCCCTGATGACTGTCGTTCATTTTGCTAGAAGAATCTCGTGGTTCGGCACGCTTGATTTCAACCTGAAACAAAAAACGAACGGAATCACAGGTAATGCAACTTTCCACTATCCCTCTCAAGAATTTAACTAATGAAATCACTAAATAGGACTCCAATTTTGATCAAACTAAAATAACCCCATTGTTGCCTCAATGAATCTCCTTTCGTAAGTACACAGTTATCTAAGTTTGTTAAAACTCGCCAAGTCTTACATAAATTCTAAATATATTCTAATTTCTTTTTAACTTTTATATAACGCATGATGTACGGTATTCTAAATCTTTTGTTCTTCTTCTTTCTTTTTTTTTTTGTTCTTTTTAAACTGACACTTATATAATAGTAACTAAACGTACAGTCATTAAGCGTAACACAGTACGAAAAAATTGTGTAAAATAAAATAAGTACTATAACTAACATTAATAATATATAGAACTATGTGGTACATAATCGTAACATTATATTAACAGTCGTACTTATTATTATTTTACATTACAGTAATCTAATAATGTATATGCTAGTGTGTAGGTATGCTATACCTGTTTTCCATTTAAGTTGACGAAATGCTCTGCGACACACCGGTCCACGGCATCTTCATCCTCGAAGCTGAGAAAGCCAAATCCTGCCGTCCAAACGTGACAGTATATCAAAAATTGCCCCATATGTTTATACAACAAATACAATGTTTTATTTGTTTTTATATATATATATATAACCCCGACTCCTGAATTTGTATCATTGCATATTAGGCTATCAACGTTACAATTCATTTTTGTAAATTTTTATTTGTTACAAGCTGGTCCATTACATCTAATTACTTTTGTTGCATCAATGATAATAATAGTCGTTAGTTTCAATTTAGTATATCTTTTATGGTTTATAAATAATACTTATTACATGTAATTTTAATACCGATTAAAACATGCACCTTGTGAAATTTTTAATTACTTATTATAACTATTCATCTTATATGTTTGTAAAGGTTAAAATACTTAATCTAAAAAGTTTATGATGGCTGATTTTAAGAAGCTCTTTTTATTTATATTTCTCTCGAAATTAGAAATATTTAAACAATCATAAGATTGATGGGAATTAAACGATTAACATTAAACAATGTCAAATTAATGTTATTTAAAGTTATGTGTTATGTTAATAAAGATAGAAGATTACACTCCTGAAAAACTTTGACTAATCGTATTTAACGAAAGCCCTTGTTAAACGTGTAAATAATTTTTAATTATAGAAAATAATCTGTATTGTTAGAAAAATAAAATGGCGCGAAAAGAGGTTTTCGTTGAACTCGTCGAGCACGCTAACTTCTTGAATGCAGCCACCAAATGTAAAATAAATATTCAAAGAAGAAATAAATCGAGTCTGTCATCGTGAACGTGGATAACTACGAAATTTTTAATCGTAAGAATACCGATGTTATTGCAAAAAATTTTTGTGCACTAAAAGGCCACTGAAAATTAATATTATCCTAATTTATGTAAAGATATAGTAATTATTAACTGTAGACTAACATTTAAGATTAATAATTTATATAATATATACCAGTTAAGGATAAGTATAATTAAATGAGAGTATTATTCAGTGGATAAGATAATAGATGGATAATATCTAATAGAGAACAGGATTTACAAAGTATCTTACTAATAACTTAACTTCGACTTAAGTTATGTACATTTAACTTATGTACTTAATAATCTATTCTTAATAAAACTTAGCCAAAATCACAATATGTATAAATACATTTAATGTAATTTAGTGTAACATAAAGTATCTTAATATGTTTTAAGGTAAGACAAGGCGAATTATTAAGAGTAGCAAAACAGGATAAGATAGCTAAATAAATAACTATATATAATGCATATAAGTTTCAATGTATGGAGAGGGACCTTAAAGTATTTCGTAAGTATATGTCAAAAACAAACAATATTAATTAAGAAGTCTATGAATCAGGATGTATTAATTATAATTACTAAGGGAAACAAGAGCAGGGTCATTAAAAAAAAAAAGGGTAATCAAGCAGAGGAAGTTCAATGACCATTTATTATTGACGCTTAAGCGTAGAAACATATTCACCTTTTAACTAATTATCTGCTAATTCTAATATTCATATTCAATCTTTACATGAATGACTGGATAAAAATTTTGATATCGTACTTTCAATGGGTGTGCTGCATTCAAGTCAGAATTTTTGATTCGATGTGTACGAAATATTACGATCAACGCGTACCGTATAATACATGCGCGCATGAATTATTTGTTTATGATATTTCTTTACAACATTGCACATATTATTTGTGTTATGATTTTAGAAAATATTTAATTCAAGAATTCTGACTATGTTCCTAGTCACGCGATAAACATGATGACATAAATAGTCGACTTTAAATGTTTAAACAATTGTCTTTCGTAGCTTCCATAATAAATAGAATAATTAAAAAAATATATGTTAAGATATACGAAAATATGGACAGCATTGCTTTTATTAGGCTAATATTGTATTTGTTATAGAGATATAATGGAAACTACTCCAAACAATGCCACTGTATAAAAATAGTAATCGTTATGTACTCACCCCTAGATTTTTTCTTTTCCTGGTCATACATTATCACTACTTCCATAACTTTGCCAAATCGAGTGAAGAAGGACCTCAGGTCAGTTTCCGTCACGTTGCTTGGTAAACCACCAAGAAAAACCTTTGGAAAGCCACCACTACGTTTCGGCTTTTGTTGAGTGCGCGGATTACAGGGCTTGGGATCAATCTGTAACATAATGTAAATAGTTCGTTAAACACGTTTTTAATTTAAAATTTTTAAAAATGTCTATTACATATCATGGAATAATTACGAAAAAATTGATTGTTTTTTGGGGCAAAATTATTTAGATGTGTTTCTTATCAATGCTTTTCAATTATAAAACCAATACATACTGTACGCCCATCGAGTTGATGCGGCCCATTTTGGAGAACCAAGGGGACATTAGCAGGATCGCTAAACGTTACAAATCCAAATCCACGACTGCGACCAGACTCACTGTTCTTCATAACAACACAGTCAATTACTTCGCCATAACGGCCAAAGTATCGCTGCAGATTTTCTTGTGTTGTTTCCCAGGACAAACCACCAACAAACAGCTTTCTGTAACAAACAGATGAACAATGATTAATATAAATACACAAAACACGATTACATAATTAGTATTAATGAAAAAAAATACAAATATCTTTGAATACATACAAATTTAAGAAAATTTACTTTATTTAAAATTTTTAAAATTTTTTAAATCTGTTGTAGGTCTATATAAATAAACTCAGGTAGATTTATCATTAAATATGTAGTATATTCAAATTAATTCTTTATAACTACAGTAGTTCTGAAATCATACTTGTTATCTATACTTTTGAGGTTTGATTAAACTGTTATCAATATATCAATTATGGTTTCGGGTTAATACCATGATCTATAAACAATCTATGTGTAAGGAGGATTTTAAATAAAGCTAGAATAAATATAGCATACTCTGCAGCAAATAGTTTTTTACTCAAATTGTAGTAACCAATGTATTATATTACCCTTGTTTCATCGATAATTTTTCAAGTCTTATAAAATTTAAGAAAGAAATTTCATTCTTATATACAAAAAGAGTTTCTCCCCTCGAAACTGTATTCAAAATTTATATAAAAATCCAAGCATGATTCGCCGCTTACCCAAATACCTGGCGATATTCGGGTCTAACGAAATGCGTGGAAGAAAATCCACGCAGCGAGGGAGTATCGAAATGCACTCTGATCTTTCAGGATATAGAGCATAAAAATAGAGAGTCTAGAGCTAAAGGATGTAACGAGCAACGATGCAGCGGCGTACTTTCACGCCGAATTCAATCGAAAACGTACGATTTTTGTCAGCCAACCTTTCCCCATTCGGGTCGTTAGATTCCTCCGGAAAAACGGGCCAGCTTTTCGCCGGATGAAAAGACCCGGGGCACAAGAGCGAAGAAACCGGCATCGGTGAATTATTCCCCCCTCGCGAGAAAAACTACACATCCAACCGCTCGTTGCTTCGGGGAGAAAAAAGTTTGGCTTCGTCTCGTACGATTTCTTCGATACGCGGGCTCCGATGACGTTTTACGAGACGCAGATAACCGTTTTAACTCGAGATCGGACGTACACGGAGGAGGAAACGATAGGCACGAAGTAACCGCAATACGCAAATGGAGATCCCACGCAATAAACTCGACGGGCCGTGAACGCGTCCCGATCGAATATTTCTCGCGTGGAAAAGCGTCTACGAACGGTCGCCGAGACGGAATTTCTACTCACCCCTTTTCGTCGTCGTCCATTTCGGTCTTCACTCTCATAATATTTCACTTAAAACTACGAGAATGTTGTTAGTATTAGGGCGCGAATGGGAATATGGCACGATGCTTAGCGCGAACGAGGGTAATGGCTCCCCACAATGAACGCGACGTCGAGAACAGAATGTAAACGTAACGAAGCGACTCGCGTCACTTCCGCCGAACGACTAGTCAAATCAGCAACCGTGCGCGGCCTCCACCCAGGGACGGTCGCAACGGAACCCTGGGCCCTGCGACTAAATAATATTGATGAAGAAAATCTTGGTTTAAAAGAAGAAACATTAGTCCAAGTATTAAGTGCTTGTTACATATGGCAATTTCAATCTTTGAGATATTGCGTTCTTTTAAAAGAACGTTTTGAACATGGTTTTTGTTGTCCATAACAAACATAGAGTCTTTGCTGTCTATAGTAAAAATTCTGTAAAAATTCATGGCACTAGGTTTAAGTCACTACTAAAAAATTCAAAAGGTTTTTTGAATAAAAACAGTTCTTTCTTTAACGAACCAGACTTTATATACGCTTTGCTTCGTACCTTAAGTAATTTGAATTTGAATTTGTAATTTGGCGCGTCCATAAAGCGCGTCGATTCTTCTTTAAAAACATAAATACCAACACCATAAAGGGAAGTAGTAATTAAATTTATATTATAACAATCCACCCAAGAATCTTATCCTTCGTTTACTTAATGATTAAATTGTAACATCTTAATTTTTAAGACCTTTTATCGCCATTCTAAATAGATATCTTATATATCTATAGACTTATGCGTTAACGACCCTATTTTATTTGTTATCAAAGTTACTTCACTAAGTTTATTTCACACTCGTAACTTATATTCGAACGAGTAAAAGCGTCCTTTTCGTTATTAAAAACGTAGAATATTGTTGAAATGTACAAGTTGTGCGTTTGGGGTCGCGATGCATTAAGTTTCGTATTGGCACGGTCCTGAAAAAGATATCGCGTATAGTTGGTGAACCTAACCTCCGAGGAAACAATCGATAAAACGCCTGACAATAATTTTTTCCTTGTAATAAGAAAGATTGAATGGAAAGTACACGCCAGTCAATATATTAGTTGAATGCAGTAGTGCATATGGGTTCAACGATCTGTCGTCACATAGCTGATTCCCGCCATTTTGTTCTGAGATCGGCGCCAAGATTCAAATCGACTACTTCACAAACAATCATTTTTGCGAATATTTATGCAAATTCGTATTTTTACAGGTTCAAATTGTAAATAAATGTTTGAATAAACCATACCTCGTCTTCTAAACAATCTAACGTTAATATTTTATATATTTTTGCATTAATGCGAATCCTCACAAATTATCTCTTCACTCGACATTAATGCATGAACATCCGCGGTCTACTTATCACGAACTCCAAGTTTAATAACGAGAGAACAAAAGTAATCATTTTCTTCTTAGATAGAAAGCAATCTTCTAGCCGTTGCATAATGCATAAGAGCCACCACATTGTGCAATGCATTACTCTTTCTACCGGTAATAATTTCATAAGGCACTCGTGCAGAACGACGCGAGCATCGAGTCCGCGTAATTTTACACGTTATTGCTCTGAAATTTAATTAAGAACGGTTCGATTAAATCGGAAATGAAATACGCACAGAGACCAGTTTTTATTTCGCGGCAAAGGTGCCGCGCAAATCGTGCTCGCGTTAATAAACATGTCAAGTTATTAAGAAAATTGTAGAACAGACTTCGAAAGTAAATAACGGATAATTTAAATGATTCGATATTTCCTGAATATCTCTTGCCCCCTTTTCACTTTAATCATTCATGCCATGGAAAGGTAAACTCTCTTATCTGATAATACCGTGATAGCAAGAAATCCATACAATTGGAGACCCGTCGTAAACTTGCAAAAGCTATGCGTCATTTCTCCATAACAATTTCATAAGTCGCTCCGAAATACTTTTAAGGTACGCGGACACATTTTCGATGATTTCGGTGAATTTTCGGATTTTAGATACGCGAACAATGAAAGCCTGTTCCCGGTTTCTCCTTCACGTAAACCGACGAGTCTTCATCGTCGAGTTCACGCATATGTTGTCAGCGACAGCCGACTTCCCGGGAAGCTATAAACTCTGCACGTTGTCGAGGAATTGTACCGGGGATGTGTCCCAAGCCTAAACCATAACATGTGTATAATTCCGAGGATTGGTTCGTCTCATTTCACCGTCTTTCCGCCCGATGGATTTCGTCGAGCTGCTAAAAATAAAATTATTTAACGTGCCCCCGTCGCGAGTGTACTTTCCGATTTCTGAGTCATCCATCAAGCTGAATCACTTTCGTCGAAAATCGACATACTGCAGGCTTAGAAGTGTTTTTTCTAATTCCGTGATAATTAAACTGTGGACTTATGTATATATATTATTATTAGAGTATATATATTTTTAGTTAGATTTTTTAAATGGCGAAGAATTCATTTAATTGTAAATTGAAATTTGCTTGTTGATCGAGTTTGGCAATATTTCATTCGAGTGAAATGAATTTTATTGGATATAAAAAGCAGTTCAGGAATTCTTCTTCACCATTCGGTAAAAATTTAAGTAAATGTATGTATACTCGAGTAATAATATAAATCTCGAGACAGGAGACACTAATTCGAGACGATATTCGGATCGTGTTTCTAACGTTTTTAAAGCACACCTACGTTTCGTCATCGCGTCTTAATCCGATCGTTCCGGTCGAACAAGGATCGAGCGTGGAGATAATGTGAAACTCACGAAGCGTAAAGGTAGTTCAATTCGCTTCTATTTCGACGGAAGTTCCTGCTTTACGAACGTCAGGCCACAGTGTGTCAGGTTCGAATGTTCTTACTGGCACGTTTGCACGACACATTTACACTTGAATTTCAGACCAGAGATTCTCGAAGGCATTAAAACCATTGAAATATTATAGATAGAGAAGAGGAGACATAGTAAAAATAAATGGAAAAAAGGGTTAGAAAGAGAAAAAGGAACTGCGGTGCCTTATCTATTTTTATGCTGTTATTAGAAATAATTAATGTAATAATAACATGTTATGCTTTTATTATTCATGTAAATGTGTCTATGCGTGTAATTATTAAAAGCATACACGATAATCCTTAATTATTGAAAATGATATAAAAATGTCGAAGATGGAAACAGACAGGGTGACGCGGTTCTCTTTTTCCTTTGGCTCCGCTACTCTACCAATAATATCTCTATGATCATGTCACATTCATAACCAAAGGCTCGCATACAAATAGAATGATTTTACGGTTCGTTTCGTGTCACGGCACTTCGTTGTGCATACCTACGCACGAGTGCCTGCGAAAGACAATATCCATCCGACGAGATTCCAGACGCGTCGAGGAACCGACAAGAACCGCGCTCGAGAGATACCAGAGGTTCTTACGCAATCTCTCGTCTTCTCGCTCGTTATCCATCTGCAGCGCAAGAATTTAAATTTCGAGTACAGGTAAATTAAAGAAAAACGAGGCTGACGAAACACAGGCTCATTTACCTTTGATGCCATGCACGGTGGACTCTCGTATGACGCCATTGACGGGACGTCTGTCAGAGTAATACTCTTGAAAATTTCTACTGCAATTCAATTTTGTTTAGAGACTATTGGAAACTATATGATCAAACATGTCTGACTAGATCAAACAGGTTAGACTAATAGTCTTGAATATTTCTACTGCAATTCAATTTTGTTTAGAGACTATTGGAAACTATATGATCAAACATGCCTGACTAGATCAAACAGGTCAGACTAATAGTCTTGAATATTTCTACTGTAATTCAATTTTGTTTAGAGACTAGTGGAAACTATATGATCAAACATGCCTGACTAGATCAAACAGGTTAGACTAATAGTCTTGAAAATTTCTACTGCAATTCAATTTTGTTTAGA